AGTAATGATGCTGAAAATTCAGCTTTGCATCACAGGAATAAATTACATTTTAAAATATATTCAAATAGAAAATGGATATTTTAAATTTTAAGTAATTGTAATAATATTTTTAATTAAATTGTAATAGAATTTCACTAAATGTCACTTTTAGCTGCATTTCTGATCCAGTAATGATGAACATTCAAAGACATTTAATCAAAAAATTAACATCTACTGAAGTAATTATAATTTATTATCTAATTTTATAGTTTATGTATATATTTTTAATTTGTATAAATTAACATAAGTAATAATATTTTTATATTGTTTCATATAAATCATTATATTATTTACAATTATTTATTTATTCATTCCTTTCGGTATGCACAATTAAAAAAACTTCCTAATGTTTTTTTTCCCTCTTAGTCGGCAGCCCAACCTACTCAAGTAACCCTGATCACGACTCCAAGTGGTGCTGAGGCTCAGCCTGCACAGGATCTTCCTGTCTCCATCATGGCCTCTCCCACCTCAGAGCAGCCCTCCACCACTGCTGCTGATGCTGGTGACTGTGCTGGCGAAGGTGCTACCACCGTGACGCTGGTCTGTTCCAACCCTCCATGTGAGACCCATGAGACTGGAACGACCAACACGGCTACAACGGCTTCCGCCAAAATGGGCACCGAACAGATTTGTTCCAACCCTCCCTGTGAGACCCATGAGACTGGAACGACCAACACGGCTACAACGGCTTCTGCCAAAATTGGCACCAAACAGATTTGTTCCAACCCTCCCTGTGAGATGCACGTGACGGGCACCACCAACACTGCAACCACCGCCTCTGTGAACATGGGCAGGTCACAGCAGGTCTGCACCAACCCACCCTCAGAGACCCATGATACGGGCACCACCAACACAGCCACCACTGCCAGCTGCAACATGGGATCTAAAGAGATGGAAACCGTGAACAGCAAGACAACATCTTCGGCAGCTACATCTTCAGCTTCTGGTTCAGAACCAGCAACACCCGTCTCAGAGAGCAGTGCTGGACCAGGCACCATGCGGCCGAAGAATCTCCGCACAGGTACCACCAACACCTCCACTACTGCCCGCTCCAACATGGGCTCCGACCTTACGGGAACAGTGCAGAGCTCCAACAAAAGCCAAGCCGCCATCTCCTCTACGCTGATGCCTCTTTGCTCCAGCCCTCTCAGTGAAACAAGCGAGACGAGCACCACAAACACTTCAACTGTGTCCAGTGGCGTCCAGCAGGTCTGCTCAAATTCTCCCTGTGAAACACACGAGACAGGCACGACCAATACGGCTACGCAGTCAAGCTCCAGTATGGACAGTGGGCAAACCAACATTGTGCAGAGGGTGTGTTCCAATCCGCCCTCTGAAACTCATGAAACGGGCACTACCAACACGCCTACCCAGGCCTCGTCTTCTATTGGTGCTGGACAGAACGGCACGGTTCAGAGGGTGTGTTCCAATCCGCCCTGTGAAACTCATGAAACAGGCACCACAAACACGCCGACCCAGGCCTCGTCTTCTATTGGTGCTGGACAGAACGGCACGGTTCAGAGGGTGTGTTCCAATCCGCCCTGTGAAACTCATGAAACAGGCACCACAAACACGCCGACCCAGGCCTCGTCTTCTATTGGTGCTGGACAGAACGGCACGGTTCAGAGGGTGTGTTCCAATCCGCCCTGTGAAACTCATGAAACAGGCACCACAAACACGCCGACCCAGGCCTCGTCTTCTATTGGTGCTGGACAGAACGGCACGGTTCAGAGGGTGTGTTCCAATCCGCCCTGTGAAACTCATGAAACAGGCACCACAAACACGCCGACCCAGGCCTCGTCTTCTATTGGTGCTGGACAGAATGTCACAGTTCAGAGGGTATGTTCCAATCCGCCCTGTGAAACTCATGAAACAGGCACTACCAACACGCCTACCCAGGCCTCGTCTTCTATTGGTGCTGGACAGAACGGCACAGTTCAGAGGGTGTGTTCCAATCCGCCCTGTGAAACTCATGAAACAGGCACCACAAACACGCCGACCCAGGCCTCGTCTTCTATTGGTGCTGGACAGAATGGCACAGTTCAGAGGGTATGTTCCAGTCCGCCCTGTGAAACTCATGAGACCGGCACCACCAACACGCCGACCCAGGCCTCGTCTTCTATTGGTGCTGGACAGAACGGCACAGTTCAGAGGGTGTGTTCCAATCCGCCCTGTGAAACTCATGAGACCGGCACAACCAACACAGCCACCACAGCTACAAGCAGCTTAGAAACTGGAGAAGGAACAGGTATTTATCTCTACAACACCTGAACATTATTTGTGTGTAAATATTAGGGGTGGGAATCGCAGGGTACCTCACGATACGATATGAATCACGATACATGGTTCACGATATGATGATATCATGATACATCGATTCTGCGATAATCGATATATTGCTAGACAATCCTATAACGATACATCACGATATCTGTGTCTATGAAAACAAAATGCCTGTGAAAAGGTTACGTGCAAGCTTTCTCTCTTTATACAAGTCCAAACTGTTAGAAAACAGCACAAAAGTTCTGAAAATCTAATTTAACATGCTAAGTAAATTAATCATTTTATTCTTGGACTTATTAAAAGCTTACACTTTTCTTTGTGTGTAAACCAACACATTTAACTGCTTATCAATTTTATATATAGCCTATATATATATATATATAAACCTGGTACATTTCAAAATTTACCTGGAGTGTTTTCTCAACCTTTCCTCTCATCATAAAATCGGAGCCCCACACACATGACATGCAGGGAAAAAATAGCCATTCACATCGCCTCTTCTGCGCGCTCAGGTTCGTTATTTCAAATGTATATGCGCGGCAAGCACACACACTGCACACTTCTGCGCCTCATTACGGCACTGACGAGGTTTTGTTTCGTCGCCCATGCCATAGGTGCAGATTTATGCTTCTGCCTGCGCCGCATTACGGCTCTGACAAGGTTTTGTTTCGTCGTCCATGCCATAGATGCAGATTTATTTTTCTACCAGTCGGTGCCCACTGCATAACGCGCACTTGCAATATCTGAGAGAGAGGGAGAGCATCCAGTTTTGTTGACGTAAAACTGGACGCGCCGGTGGCACTCTCTCACTTAAGGTTAGTGAGGGAAATCCACCTGCGATCCGAGCGGATTGGTTAGGCTACTCATGGACTGATTATGCGCTCTGCAGTAACGTGATCGGTGCCTATGGTCCACCCTGATAGCTGTTCCGTGGCAGTTTTTTAGTTCTCATTTCCATAAACATACAGTATCTCACAGAAGTGAGCATTTACTTTACAGCTTGTAAGTTAGTGGTTCATACAGCTCGTACGTTAATAATGGAGCAGTTCATAGAGTTTTATTTTAAACTTGGACCCAAGTTCAAATACAGTCAGCTTTGCTTATAGTTTAAGGCACGGTTTTGGGACATTCTAAAACACTTAATGTGGCTTAGGCTACTATAACAGTGACACTGGAGGCCCAATTAGTTATTAGGCCTAATAAATACTATTAATACTAATAACAATTGTAATATTAATGACCTTATTAATAGCATTACTATCAGTAAAGCAGATAGCCAAAATGCAACGTTTCTCCCCCATTTAAACCCGTTTGGCTATAGAAAACGCTTAAGGGAGGCTAATGGACGAAGACGGGCTAAAACCAAAATATGGTACACAGTTTATTAATAAAATATAGCCTATTATGCACAGGACAGCAGACAAGCCCAGAATAGCTATAAACAAGCCAAACCCTAATTTAAAGTGAAACTGAAAGTATGGGCTCACGTACCGCTCTCATTCAGCACAAATCCAAATGTTTCCATATTCGCAATATATTTAGAAGCCTAACCATTATTTATTAAATGAACTGGGCTTTGTACGTTCCAATATCGAAGGGAAAAAAAATCATAATGAACAAAAATGTGCCGCACTTGAGTGGACCGGGGCTCACGCTGTACGGCCACAGACTATAATACAGATTATTTAAATTGACTGTGTAACATTTTATCTGTATTGGTAATTCTATGTTTTATTTTAATAATGAACAGGCCGTTTGCAATGAATATGTGCGCATGAGGCGCCAGCGCGATCAAATCGCTGAAACATAAAATACTCCGTCACTTACTGTAGGGCATAATTCGTTTGAAGATTATTCGTTTGAAGATTCAATCATATAAAAGATTATTAGAAATTTTATAAAGCGAGCACTGTTAGGTTCTTATTTCACTCTGAAACCTACGAGAATGCAATTTTCTCTGAATATCCAAAAGACTGCAAATGTGACATAAATTTTATATAACAGTTCAACAAAAAAGGCAATATTAAGTGTACATTTTACATTTTAAATGTAGCCTACATTTTAAACAAAATATTGTCAATCTTGTTTGTTATATTTTACAAAGAAATAATAGTTCCAACGAAATCGTTGGTGAATGAATCTGCAGCTTTGAATGATTCGGAGAGTACTGATAATCGGAACTGATTAATAACCCTTTCATAACTACAACCATTTGTTTCGTTACTGAATGAATGAGTGCTTCGCCTTGCTCATTAGACAGTGACTTGCTGCCACCTACTGGTGATTTTAGTTTTGAATCTACAAGTATAACTTCGTTTTGCCATCATTTATTGCTTTATTTATTATATTAATAATACACTTAATGAAATGTGAAGAATATGACATAAAGCATGACATAATTAAAAAGGCTAGAACAACTTTGCCTCTATAACAGTAAAAATGCACATGTAAATCAATTTAAGGGGGCAAATATTGTCCCTTAATGGAAAAGGTGTAACTGCGGTCTAAGTGGGGGTACTCAGAAGAATGTTAGGCTAAATGCTCTAGGGGTACGCCATTGTAAAAGATTTGAGAACCACTGGCTTAATGGATTACTGCGTTGATTGCCTGTAGTATATTTTTAATAAAATATAAAATTTGGGCTTTTTATATCACTGTCTTCTTATATTAAGCCACGTTAAGCACGGTTTTCTATGGGGAAGAAAACGCTTATGCAATTCAGCTCATATGGGCTCATCTGCTTGCATGTACACAGAATATATTTTTAATAAGTTCTATAGCATAGTTGGTCTTTTTTTTATTACTTTTTTTTTATCACATATTCTTTATGGGAGGAAAATGCTTCTGTTCTTCTGGGCTAACCTACTTTCATGTATAATTTATTAATAAACTGTATACCGAATTCGGCTAAGCAGTCAGTAATAAAATAAGAACAAATAAAGAAATTAATGATAGCATAAATAAAAAATAATGACAGGCCTTCGAATTAAATAATTAGATTTTTAGTTTTTCAGGAAGGTCTAACAGTAGGGTTAAGATATTTAACTTTTTTTTTTTATACCAATTATCTAAATAATGTTTAGTCCTAGAAAGCTATTATTATCAGAACATGTGAGCATAACATAGTCTTAAAGTGCAATTCAATTTACCGGGTTACGTTCATATTCTGGGCTATTCTGCTTGTCTGTATGCTTTATTAATAAGGTATGTACTGAATTTAGTCATCCAGTGATTTACATTAAGCATTTTAGAATGTCCCAAAACCGTGCCTTGATAAGCATGCACTGACTATTTAGTCCAAGTTCAAAACAAAACTCTATGAACCGCTCCATTGTGAACGTATAGAGCTGTATGAACCACTACAATCTGTAAAGTAAACAGGAAGTGTTTGTCCGAACTCAACTGGTTTTGCGAGAGAACGCAAAAGTTTTGCGAGAACCCAAATGTTTTGCGAGGGAACGCAAATATTTTTGTGAGAGAGCTAAAAAGTTTTGCGAGGGAACGCAAAGTTTCTTGAGGGAATGCAAAAGTTTTGTGAGAGAATGCAAAAAATCTGAAAAATATTTTTTCCTCCCACCCCAAATTTTTTCACTCAATCTGATTTTTTTCCACCATCATGTCCCTTTAGGGGCTCCGCAGTAGAGCTAATACAGTGGCTGGAAATCTGTTTATCCTTCGGTTCCTCGTGCTTCCCCATCTTCATAGAGAACGCGGTTCATGGTTGCTCAGAGCGGTTTGGAAAGAAGGTGGAAATGGCGCAACCGCGATTTCCACGCATTTTTAGACGCTGGGAGCAGGGAAATCTGTATAGAGCACCTTATTGTAATAATTAAAATATCGATATCTGGTGCCAGATTTTTGTTTCAATTAGCAAAGGTTTTTAATCCACTCATGTCTTCATCTGTTATATATTCTGTATATATAGTATTTTTATTATTAAATAATAGTGATAATTGTATTTTTTTCCCCTTTTTATTTGCTTTTTATAAAGGCTTTATTATGTGTTTATTATTATTAAATATGAAATTATTATTGTATTAATAATAATGATGATAGTAATAATAAATATATTATTTTCTTTTTATTTGCCTTTAAAAGGGAAGGCATCTTATTTTTAGCTCCATGGGCATATTTTTTTTTATCTTTAAAATGTTAATGTTTTATACTATGAAGTCACTCATCTGTGTATAAAGTATATGTAACCAAAGGTGTATTATTTTGTGTGTATTTCTTTTTTTTAAATGTATTTTTGTTTGTTTGTCCTCCCCAACTCAATTAACAGGTTTGATCTGATTAGCCAGACATTTCAAGCTGTTAATACCAGGGCTAAATTACTCCCCCTCTTTGCACCCTCTCAGAAGAACTAAATAGATTATCCATCTTTTCTACTGTAAATTAAAATGTCTTGATGCCTATTTTACTTAGATTGACACTCCAGTATGAACATTTTATAAAAAAAAAATGTGCTAAACTGTACAGATTTGTAATGTTGGTCATCATGTCAACTGCTTAACAATAATTATTGGCTGTCAGTTACCAATGTAATTTTTCTGTCAGTGCGTCCCTAGTAATTAAGCTCATCTGTGTTTGTCCTTTTAGCCCAGCAGGCCGGTGATGGGCAGAGTGACAGTGGCACCAGCTCAGAACCCACATCATCTACAGAACCAGCCAATCCCACAACACAAAGCAGAGCCATCACCACAGTAACACAGGCCACGCCCACTCCAGGACCATCAGTACCGGTACAAACACACCTCTAAACTGATCGGCTGGATTTATGCAATTTCCTGTGGACAACATACCTGTTACCAGGAATACCATATTCTACTTTGCTCCCAAAGTTACTAGTAAAGTCGTTTTACATGTATACACAGTCCTTTCCTGTCTAATTGGGTACATCTGAACCAGAAGAAGCTGTAGTGCAAGCCACTTTTTGCTTCTAGTCTTGCAAATTTTTTACAAATGCCTGAATTCTGTTCTTAGACATGCAAATAAATGCTCTAGATTAAGATGTTTTGTCATCCTCCTCACGTTCTGTTTGTGTTTTCTCCACAATGTAGGAGATTTCGTCCATGGCTGGATCTGTGGTAGTGGCTGAGGTCCCGGGAGAGGCTGAGGCCATGGAGCAGACCAGCACTGAGGCCGGAACAGTGGGAGAAGAGCCCATGCAGACTGAGTGTCAGGGAGAGCTGGGTGAAGAGGGAGCTGTCAGGGTCGTTGCCATAGATGAAAGTGCAGGGGGAGAGGAGGGCACCATGCTACAGGTTCATGTCGCCATGGAAGCACAGCCAGGTCAAGGGGATCAGGCTGAGGTAAGGAAGAAACTTTGTGAAGTCAACTTTATTTAGTGCAGTGTAAAGTACAGATGGTTTCAAAGCTGCTTCACAGTAATAAACGGGCCAACCGCAGAGTATGACAAGCAGCCGCCACAACAGCGATGTTCACATTTTTTTTTCTTTTTTTCTTAGAATTAGAATAGAGAGGGCTAGAGTTAGGGGCTCAAATGAAGATGGAAGAGATGTGTTTTAGCCGTTTCTTGAAGATGGCTAAGCACCCCAGCTGCTGGGATTGAGTTGGGCAGGTCATTCCACCAGGAGGGTGATTTGCTGATTTTAATATGCTGATTTGCTGTTCAAGAAACATTTTATATTATTAATGTTAATGCATATTAGGTGGCTTTCACACTGGGCTCGTTTGCTGTGGTTCGAACACGAGTGCGGTTGTTCCTGGCACCCCCCGCAGCGTTGGTCTGGTTTCACGCTCTCTTGATTCTGTTGAACCCCGCTGTGTTTGCAGTCATCTTACGCAGTGGTGTAATGTAACGAAGTAATAATACTTCGTTACAGTACTTAAGTATTTTTTGGGAGTATCTGTACTTTACTTGAGTTTTTATATTTCAGCCAACTACTTTTACTCCACTACATTTCCTAATTAAAATGTATACTTTTACTCCGATACATTTCCCCGAAGCATATTTGTTACTTACTACAAAATAGTCAGAAGAACACGGACCTGCAGTAACGAATAAAGCAGGTTTGACGAATCAGTGGTCTGGAGTTTGGAAGTTAGACTCCTAAAAACTCCTTTGCTCATGTGCAAACAAGTGCGCGCACAAGCGCGGATGATTCATTTTCCACTCAAGTCGAGTCTGGGGTGTGCTACAGCATCATCACACTCTCCAAATACATCTAGCCAAACCCGCGCTCGCTCCGTCACGTATGCACGCACGCATGCACCGTCACGATCTAATGCACTGTAAATGCCGGATTTTAAAAAACAAATAGGCCTACCAGAACGCAAAAAATGTAAAATCTGACATTTTCCGGAACAGGATCCAGCAGGATCAAATTAAGTACTGGTCATAATACTCACATGATAATGTTTCATGTTAGTAACAGTGTGTTTTGCTGCAGCAGCGCCGATGGAAGCGGTTCACTGACTGCGCAGCACAGCCACACGCGCCACAGTTACGTTTGGGATCATTTTATTTTGAATGCCATAATGTCAGTTGAAAACATTGCAATTGTGTTTTAAAATACAACAACGAGCACCACGAAACCTTTTAAAGAGGCGCGTTCAGCGGTCTCGGTGATGGGATAGGAAACAGTCAACAAAGTAAAATGATCTCAAATGAGCTCCGCGCTCTCTTCATTAGTGATGTCCGGTTCGCGAACGAATCGTTCAATTTAACCGGTTCTTCTTAGTGAACCGGTTGAAACAGTTCACCAAATCTGACTGAATCATTTGAAACGGTTCGCGTCTCCAGTAAGCATTAATCCACAAATTACTTAAATTATTCACTTTTTAAACGTGGCTGACACTCCCTCTGATTCGAAATAAACCAATATCCCGGAGTAATTAATTTACTCAAACAGTACA